AGAGAACAGAATTAACATTCTAACTGCAAACTTCAAGAAATCTTTCTGAAAATTAAAGCAGCTTTCAATTTCCATATTGAAGGGGTGAGCAATGTATCAAAGGAATGTCCCAGAATAGCAAACACTGAGAAATAATTTTGTTAATTCTCTTCTTAGGCCCCATGTTAGGAGTTTGTTTTTTAATTTATGTATCCATTCATTTTTAGGTTTTGTTTACTCTTGTACAACTAAAACTTTAGTTAGACATGGAATTTGTCTCAAACCAATAATTGTGTCTTTGAACATCAAATTTAATCCACATAGATCATCTTACTTTTTGCAATTATCTTTTTGAAATAATAAACTGAAAAGTTAGTTGATATAGACACACGTCACGGTATAGTTGCATTGTATGCACTTTGCTTATGCAATCATACAACTCAGCTCCAAACACAAGAAAATGACTAAAGTGCAGGACACAACTCCATCTCGATGAATGTATGTTCCTAGGTAAGCATGAAATGGAAAACATCAAACCATTCTTCTTCATAGACCTCTTAACAAGAGTATTTATAGTTTCTTTTGCTCATTCTTGTTCTTTTCTAAAGGCTGCATACCCCTAAAATGAGCTAACAGTGTCCTGGATGCTCAAATACAGAAATGATTATCTGTTTTAAGCTCTAAGCAAAGACTTGACAGATTTATTTAGAGGCTGTAAACTCACATGCTAGCATTCAGTTTAGGGAATTTTCAGAGCCAATGTTAATCAACTTACCCTGGGCAAAGGCTCAAGGACCCCTGCTATTGTGGTGGCCTGGGGGTGGGGAAGAGCAGTAATACACATCAAACACAACCCCCAAAAAACACACAATCCCAAAACTTTCCCTTTACTTGCCAACAGGACCAGCATCCACAAGCAGTAAAAAGGCATACTCCCAGAGAGAGTGGAGTCTTCCAGGCCTATGCAGGCAGTCCCCTCCCTCCTCCTGCAAGGTTTTAAGCCAATGCCTTTGAGCAGACTTCAACCCTAGGCAAAGGCTCAAGGACTTCCACTCTGGGGGTGGGGTGATGAGTAGTAATACACATCAAGCACGATCTCTAAAAAAACACATGACCCCATAAACTTCCCTTTACTATAGTCCTTTACTCAAGGACTCAATGGCAATCAACAACGACAATAACAACAATGTTAATCATATAAGAATTCCCTGTGTTGAATAGTGTATGGACATGATGATTGGGTCTAAATTCATTAAACTTTTTTCCCTTCTGTGTTAAGTGATTTCAATGTAATGAGGCTAGTTTGACACATGATTTTTCAATCCCACCAATCATCTGTCAGTTTGCCATACTGCCGAGGTTTGAGTGTTGCTATAATGCTGCAAGTTATGCCACTGTATTTCGAACACCAGCATGGTGGACAGGTTTCAGTGAAGCTTCCAGACTAAAATAGATTAAAAACCAGGACTAGTAATTCACTTCTGAAATTCCAAGCCTTCAATAAGTCTATGAATAGCAATGGTGGTTATTGATTGCTGTCGGGTCAAACAGGACTCATAGAGATCCTATGAACGAAATATCTGAAGCCTTTTTATAGCTCTTGTCATTTCTCAAAGTTCATAGTTTCCAGAGGCATGTTGTTTAGGAAGGGAGTGCCACTCCTGCTTCCAATAGCAATGGAACATTGTTTTATTTAAATTGTTGTATGCCAGAATATGAGCCGCTCAGGTTGGAAAGCACTTAGAATGTGACTGGGGAAAGTAAGCATAAATCTTCAAAGCAGAGTGTGTTTAGGATACAGATGGAGGTATCTTCATTTGCTGATGTCGAAAAACTCAAAATAAGAAGAAACAGCTTTATATATCCACTACTATTAGAGAATGGAATATCCCAAGCATGAATCTAGGAAAAGTGAAAATCGTAAAGAATAAAATTAAATGCAAAAATTCACATGCTAGGGATTAATGGACTGATAATATTGATACAGGCCATGGTCTTCACAATCACTTGTTATGTATCAGAGAGTTGGACAATGACCAAGGAGGATAGAAGGAGAATTGATGCCTTTGAGCTGTGGTGCTGGAGAAGAGTATTGAGAATCCCA